AGGGTCCAGTTCTGGAGCCTCTCCTCATTTTTCACTCATTTACCAGAGATGACAACATAGTGTTCTATGTGCCATGGACATATTTTATTTGATCCACGACATATGCATGTTTAAAGAATAACTTTTTGAAAAGGTTACGAACATGAGTCCCTTTCCTCTGTCCCTCCCCACTCTTCTGAATTTTGAATTTATAATCCCAATACTACCATCTATGGACACACCACTCAATAATCCATGACCTCGTAGGTGGATTCCCAACCACTGAACCACCCGGCCAGGGCTCTGTATCCCAATTTTAAAATGTAGACAAAAGCAAAGTGAACACGGGGAGACAAACCAAACCCCATGGTCAGACACGTGTAAAGAGACATGAGTGCCATGCTTGCCCCTGAAAAGGACCCCGGGCAGCTCGGGTCCTCCCACAGCGCCCCGTGCTCCTGTCTCCCGGTTTCAGTGTCTCCCTGAACACCCCCCAGGGAAGAACTGAGGGCGTTCACCCCACTTTCCATCTCCGGGACTAGCCGAGCGCCGTGGCGGGCGTGCCGATGGTGGTGGCCTGGGTGACTGATTCTGAAAAACCCTTTTGGATTCAATGTGATGGTGCTCGCCTCCTAACGGCAGCAGTGACCTCTTTCAGCCATCAAACTCGAAACCCACTGGCGTGGAGCCCTGGCCCGGAAGGAGGTCGCGAGGAGGAAGTGGGCTGTGCTGATTATAAGGAGGTAAGTTCTCGGGTGTGGGGGTGCGGCAGGGGGTGGTCGTGGGCTTGGCTGGGGTTTTTGGATTTGTGCAGACGGGGAATCCTCCTTCTGGGATGTCACCCCTGAGGAATTCAGCTCTTGGCTTTTTTCACCCTGATTTGATGGTGATTGCAACTTAGTCCATTTGTAGTCTTCTCTGAGTCGAGCTCAGAAGTCACAAAGTCAAATAAATGCCTTCTGACTCCAGGTGGGTACAGTGAGTGGGTCTCATGAGCTGGGAGAAGACAGTAAGGTATGGTGGGGACTGCGGCCAACTGGAACGCTTGTTCCCTCTCAGATGACAGCTGCCAAGGAGAAATGCCAGGCAGGTCTTTTGATTTTTCAGGAAAGCTGGAAATTTGGCTTTCATGTAATACCTCCTTTTTTTGTTGTTGTTGTTGGCAACTAATTCAAACTATTAAAAACAAAGAAGAAACAGAGTGGGTGAAGTGGGACAGACCTTTGGGGTAGATTGGGCCTGTGGGCGACATCACTGGCTTTGGCCTATGTAACCATCTAAGTAATCGCTGCCCCGTGGCCTCTTCTGATCCAACGAGTGGAGAGAACCCACAACGCGCGGAAGAAACGGGTCAGAAAATGAACGTTAACGCTTCCCAATTCAGGTTCATCAAGGGGTTCATCCATCGCGACAAGCCTCTTTGCCCCGACAATGAGGAGTTTGTCGTGTTCGTGCGCAAGAATTACATCTTGAATCTTCGCTATCACGTCCCGAAGAACGTGTTGGACAAGCGCTGGCTGAGGCCTCCTGGCATCTTGCAAAACGTAAGGACTCCGCTGGGACTCGCGTTGCAAGGGGCTTGGGCACCGACGGAGCTTGTGTGTGTGTATGTGGACCTCCCCGGGCTCGGAAGGGCTGCCTTAGCCACGCACGTCTTTGCAAGGTGATGCCCAAGAGGTTTCACTCCTCAGAACCCGTCATGTCCTCACTGGGAGCATAAAGCCATTGGAGGTCTGTTACACAGAGCAATGCCCAAGAGGTTTCACTCCTCAGAACCCGTCACGTCCTCACTGGGAGCATAAAGCCATTGGAGATGTTACACAGAGCATTTTTTTAAAATACACATTTTTATTGATTTCAGAGAGGAAGGGAGAGTCACTGATTGCTGCTTCCTGCACACCCCACACTGGGGATCGAGCCCACAATCCAGGCATGTGCCCCAACTAGGAACTGAATTGTGACCTCCTGGTTCATAGATTAAGGCTCAACCACTGAGCCACGCTGCCCGGGCTACAGAGCACTTTTAAATGGCGTCTGTCCTGGAGTAGCTTTCCAGAAGGGTTAGGTGACAGTGCCTCTCTGAAGGTGGCCCGAGGACCCTCTGTAGACGGTAAGATTCTTGGGCTCCAACCTGGACCCACTGAGCCAGCATCCCTAGGAATCGCACTTTAGACAGTCTCTCAAGTGCATTCAAGTTTAAGAACCACTAGCTTAGCAGCAGAGAAAAGGTAGCGCGAGACGATTAGCTGCTTTCTTGGACTGTAAGGTCTTAACGCCGCGCTTTAAATCGAACTGAATTCAACTAGGTTTCCACAGCTGTTTTGGTGGCCACAGCCCGAGACGGGTGGGAAAAAAGGTGTGTTCCCCACAGGCATCGGATCTGCTCCGGAAAATGTGCGTGAGGAACCTGGTTCGGAAGTACTGTCGTGGGATCACCGCCGAGAGGAAAGCGCTGGTAGGGACGTGGGGTGCGCGGAGGGGCGGGCACTGGCCCTACGGTTGAACTACTAGTTAGCAGACCTCACCTGTCAGCCAAGGCACACGCCTCGTGCACGTGATGATTGAACACTCAGCCCGAGCCCTGCTGAGTGGCAGCTGTTAATAATCGGCATCACTCTGTTGTTACCATGGGGACAGTCCAGCTGGCCCCTGCAGAGCAAATGCAGGTCCCCTGTGTGCTGGAGGTCCGGTTTTGTTTATGCAGACTTTTCCCCTAAAGGGCTAGAGTACGTATTTCAGGCTTTTGGGGGTCGTGGGACCGCCGTGGCAATGACTCAGCTCTGCTGTCAAGAGCCCCCGAGCAGCTAGAGGCAGCGTGTAACTGAAGGCAGAGCTGTGCTCCAGTAAAACTTGACTTACGAAACCAGACCGGAAGCTGGACTTGGCCCGCGGGCTCGAGCCTGCTGACCTCTGACCCAGGAGCAACAAATGGCTCCCTAAGTTCTGCACATCCCGCTTCCAGGGAGCCAGTGCAAGTGACAGAGAACAAGCAGAAGTAGCAACTCCGTTTTTGCCAGGGGAGCAGTTTTTAGGGCATTTGGTCAAAGCCAGGCATGTGTTCTGATGTCTGTGTGGAAGGACACAGCTCCCACAGCGTCTCCGGGAGGGGGTGCCACACGTGGACCTGGGAGCGCGCCTGTCCCGGAGGCCCGTGGCCACCGCTGCTGTACACTGAACTGTGTCACCAGATGCAGCAGAAGGCGGTCGCCAGCGCAGTCTTCAGGGGAAAGAAGGAAGGCTACGCAGAAAGTCTGAATAAGCCCTTTGCCAACAGTCGGATAGGTAAGTACATTTTCCCATTTACCTCGTTTTAAAAGAGCCAGGGGGAAAATTTCAACTCCATATCATTTCCCATGGCTGTGCCCCCGCTGGGGTCTCGGTCACAGAGGGACAGGAAGCCAGCAGACGCCAGCGGCTTCTGCGAGGACTCACTGTGCTCTGTTCCCTCCTAGACGAAGGAGACATCAATCCCAAAGTGCTTCAGCTCATCGGCAACGAGAAAATCCAGGTAAGGAAGAGAGGGGCCTGGTCTCGGGCAGGACTCCTGATGGAGTGTGAGGACGGGGCCTGTTTTCTGGGGGAGCAGACCCGGAAGCACCGAGTATGTGCAGGGGTGCGTGTGGGCGGGGCTCTGGGTACTGACTGGGCTGCCTGCCTCACTTAGGAGCGGTGTGATCCCCGGCAGGTCTGCAAGCTCTCCAGGGCTCTGCTGGCTGCTCTGTCACTTTGATCCCCGGGGGAACAGACACCCGAGTGGCTAGACAGGATGTTCCTGTGGCTGGGGTCTCTCGTGCCCACAGAGCCTTGAGGAGAGGGCATCTCGACCTCTCAGAGCAGACCCACGAGGCAGGTGGCCATGGCTGGGTTGGGCACGTGAGGGAGGCAACCAATTGATGTCTCTCTTTCTCTCTCTCTCACTCAAAATGAATGGAAAAAATATCCTTGGGTGAGGATTAAGAAAAAACAACCCAAAACCTAACAAAATCCACCAGGCAGAGCACCAGGGTGTAGGAAAACCCTGTTGATGCAAAATCTGAACCTCTGAGTAACCAGCAACTCAGCCCCGCGCCCCCTCCTCCCTGAGCCTTCTCCCACCTCCCCACCCGTCGTGACGGTCACCTCCTTGCAGTATGGCATCCCGGTCATTAAATACGACAGGAAAGGCTTCAAGGCGCGGCAGCGGCAGCTCATCCTCACGCAGAAAGCCGCGTACGTGGTGGAACTGGCCAAAATCAAGCAGAAAATAGAGTACTCGGCACTCAAAGGTGAGACGCAGGCCACCTCAGGGCCAGTCACTGGGCGACTTGGCTCCCGGCACCCCAGGCAGGAAGCCCTTGACCGGAGGATGACGGTGTTAGGGGCCTGTTGTTCTTGCGCAAATATCAGTGGTGCCCCAGTCACTCAAGTGTCCGGGCTGGACATCCGTCGCCCTCTTCGTGCCCATTTTTTATTTGGGGCACAACCTTGACAGCCCAACAGCACACGGACTGTGTGAGGAGGCCCTTCGCCCTGCTGGGCCCAGCGAGGGGGGAGGAGTGTGGGGTTGGGGAGCCCCAAGGTGCACCTCTCCTTGTACCTGTGTTTCATGTCAAGTTGTCCCTTCCTGGCTCCTTACTGCCGTCTGTCTGCAGGTGTCTCTACCAGCAACCTGAGGGATGGATTCTTAGTCATTCACGTCTCACCAGGAGCCAACAAGCACAAGGTAACCGACGGCCCCCTGTCTCTGCTGAGGGCCCGGCACGGTGCCGAGATGCTGGGGGGACGACGGGGAAACCGCAGTATTGGGGAGCTTTCTTTTCACCGCTCCCACTGAAACCGCCCTGTCCTCTCCTCTCCTCCCCGCTGCAGGGGGACGCCATCTTGCAGTGTGAGCACGTCTTTGAAGCGGTTACGAAACTCATCATGCTGGTTAAGAAGGAGAACATCGTGCATGTTGTTCAAGGAAGGTAGGAGATTTCGTCTCCCGCGAGGAAGGCGTTCAGTGCTCAAATGCTCGTTCTCGCACAGAAGGTACTGTGACTGCCTCTCTCTGCTGGACAGGTCCCCACGGGAATGTTAACTTTGTCACCCGTGCCCGCCTCCCTGCAGGGGTGGGGAACTTGTTTCTGCCCACAGGCCATTTGGATGTTTATAGTGTTATTTGGGGGCCATACAAAATCATCAACTTAAAACTTATGTTGCTATGAAAAGAGCCCTTAGAGCAAGTGGTTCTCAACCTTCCTAATGCCGCGACCCTTTAATACAGTTCCTCATGTTGTGGTGACCCCCAACCATAAAATTATTTTCGTTGCTACTTCATAACTGTAATTTTGCTACTGTTATGAATCGTCCTGTAAATATCTGATATGCAGGATGTATTTGTTACAAATTGAACATAATTAAAGCATAGTGATTAATCACAAAACAATATGTAATTATATATGTGTTTTCCGATGGTCTTAGGCGACCCCTGTGAAAGGGTTATTCGACCCCCAAAGGGGTGGCGACCCACAGGTTGAGAACTGCTGCCTTAGAGTGATTGGATTTCAAATCCCTGGCTGGACGTTCCCCACCCCGCTCCAGTGGGTACCCTGCCCTTCCGATTAAGAACTTCTTCCCTCTCCCCAAGCCTGGGGCTCCAGAGAAATGAAGAAGTGGGTGATCACTGGCTGACCTACGGGAACAGGGTCTTGTGACCCAGTATTCAAAGATGCCTATGGGGGAAGCTGTCACAGTGGGGGGTGGGCCTCGCCCGAGGAGGTGGCAGCCACACCTGTGCTGTGGAAGCCTGTTTTGGAGGACAGCTGGTTGGGCACAGGGGGCCTCCACTTTGCAGGCTGCCTACAGACGGAAAAGTGCTGGCATTTCTGTGGGACATAAAGGAAAAACCCCTGGTGCATAGAGTACCTGTTCAATTCTCTCAGCAGCTCTGAAGTGGGTGCCACCGTCACAGAGCTGGGCAGGGACCGTGCACGGGCCCTCAGTACGGCTCCCAGAGCCCCTAAAGCAGGCTGCTCCCTCACACTTGTGCTCCCATTACGCCCCAATCCCTAAAACCTGCTGAGTAAATCCCTATGTGGATGGAACAGCGAGAGGTGGGTACGTGGAAAGTGGTGCTTCTGTATTGCTCTGCCTCCGAGGGCAGAGCTAGCCCATGAGAGCTGTCGTATAAAGACATATGGTTACCCAAACAGCAGCATGGCCCCTTGAAACTGAAGGAGCTAAACTGATCTTAGAGTAATTACAGAGACATGGGGTCAGTTTCCTGGTTATGGAAATGGTTTTCGTCTTTGCATTACTCAAATTCTATAATCAAGCGCGTTCAACCTTGAAACGAGTAAAACTTCCTAAGTAAATTTCTTCTGTAGAGCAAAGGCTGAGAGAGAAAAGTAACGCCAGGTCAGTAACTCATCATGTTTTGTGTATTTTAAGTTTACAGTTTTATATCAGTCCTGGAAGAGAAGGCACAATAGTTTTTGACACGGGACCAGAAGAACAAATCTATAAAGATAAAAACGGACAGTTAACAGTGGTGAGTGGCTGTGTCTGGGGGGGCAGGGGAGCACTTTTTGATGAGAATAAAGATGAAAATGCTGCCAATTTCAGTCCTCCTGTAGACAGATTGGAATCATAGCTAGTTCATCTCTTTCTAGTCCTGCTTCCACATCTGAGAAACAGGAAGGAACTGGAATTGGTACTGGAGACATAGATCCAAATGCTGGATGAAGCAGGAGTTTACTGCCATGTTTACTGGGAGCCAGAGCTGACAGTCCACCCTCCCCGGGTTTAAATGGCAAAGCCCGCTTTGCACTGGGCGGCGCAGGTGCTGGGCCTCTTGCCGTGGTTCTCACACTCCAAACCGGAGCCCCCTGCGTTAGCGTCTCACCCCCGGCTCTGTGCTGTCATTGGCTGCGGGTGTGGCCGGGTGCTCAGAGCTTTGCCCTCCCTGCCAAGTAGCTATTCTGAGCCCAGCTCCCGTTTGGAGTCACAGAGCCTGTCTCCTGCCTGCTTAGCTGAAGGTACGAACAGGCCTCGGGAGCCCATTTCTGTGTGGCTGGGCGAAGCCACATCACCTACCTGGGTGATGCTGATGGTGGGGTGATAACTGCTTCCTTCCGAGGGGGGCGAGGTGAGGCCGCTAAGCCGCAGCGTGGACTCTTCCAGGTGTCTGTCCGCATGAAGTCCTGATCGAGGGTGGCGTCTGCTGAAGCCAGGACGTAGGAAGCGGATTTGACCCAGGAAGCTACCCCTTCGAGGAAAGGCTCCCGTGGCTCTGAAGAAATGGGGCGGCTTCTCATGCCAGCGCCCATCCCCAGCGTCTCAGCTGCCCTGTCGCGCTAACCTAGAACGTCCTCTCAGGGAGTCACGTCGCCAAGAGGGTGGTTGTGAACGTCCCCAGTAGGATAGGCACTCGCTGCACGCACTCTGCCTGGTCACTGTAAGGTAGGCAACAGCTTCTCTGCCTTTGCCGGCTGCCTCCAAGGCACAATGAAGTGTTAGAGGCGGTCTGAGTAAGTAACTGAAAGTTCACAATGCTGCAACATTTGAATTTTGCTTTAAATACACGGAATTAGAAATGTACCTGATTCCTTAACATTTCTCATAGGCTCTCTAGGTTCCAGATGGTGAGCTGTGTCTCCCCCAAATTAAATTGGTGGCAACACCAGCTGATCGATTGGTTTTGCTTTTTCAGAAGCCCAGCTGCGTTTCTGCCCCAGACTCCCTTTTGGTGTTTAAATTCAGGCGCTACAGGGAAATGACTCAGCTTTCCCACCCCGAGCAACTTCAAGGTGGTCAGTAGAAGGTACTGTGACTGCCTAGCTCTCTCTGCTGAAAACTGCTCTTCACTGTGTTGGGGTTTCTGAAAAGACCCAGAAAACTGGCTTACGTAGAAGCATTATATATATAACTTTTATTGTACATGATGTCCACAAATGCTTGCACAACATACAGTGACGACTTCTAAAGCTTACAGCATCTTTTTCCATAGCACAGAGAAACAGAAAGCTTAAGGACACACAGATGTGTAGAGAGCACCCAATCCAAGAGTCGGGCTGCGTGTTCCCACGTGGGCCCTGAATAGCTGCTGGGAGGTACACACACCTATTAGTAAGCGGAGGGCTGGGACCTGCCCAGCGACCAACCTGCTAAGCCGCTGCAGGAGGGCGACAGAAGGGGCTCTGTCAGGGGCCATCTCGGGCACAGGCTTCTGTACCACCATCAGGTGGCGCAGTTGAAAAAACAACTTGATTACAAGGGACCAAAAGCTGTTCACCTTTCACTGTAAGCTATTACAATGTAATAAAACTTTACTCTTTACCAGATCTTAGGCCCGTGTTTTACTTGGATGGTTCTTAAGCGTAAATACTGACTTGTTTGCCCCAATGCCAGCATAAGAAAAATTAGGTCCTTGTAGAATATACTGGATAACCGCTGGGCCAGCCAAGGCCCTCTGTCAGCTCAGGGCCATGCAGCAGCATTCACCTGGAATGTCGTAGGGACCTCTCATATCACAGGGGAGCAGTGAAAGGAGAGAGACAGAGACGGCCAGAAACATTAGGTCATCAGGTGGAGAAGCCCGAACAAATCACTTGTTCCCCAAAGTACTCTTCGTGTAAACATTTAAAAACAATGTATTCGATGGCTTTTCCATTCCTACAGGAAACAACAGAACTGACATTCACTTTAACTTTCTAGAAAAGTTCAACCCGAACGGCAGGGTTGCTGCTGGAACTGGAACGGTATAAAACATTTAAGAAACATTTTTTCAGCCCCCCTTTCCTTAGCACTTAATAGAATCCGAACGGCCTCATGCGAAGGTAACCACACAGTTTAAAAAGCATCTACCCAGTCCTTGATTTTGGGGTTGTCACCATTGTTTAAAGGTTTATTGGAGGCTTCGCTGCTGGATACAAAAGGAAGGCGTACAACTGTCGCAGTAGGGCAGTGCGTACAAAGTCGAAGCTGTAAAAACCATTTCAAAATATAAACTCGTTTTTTTGGACTACATTGTATCAGAGGCTGCCCATATTAATACCTTTGGTATAAAACGGTAACGTTTCCCTTGAAAAGTGGACAAAAACCACCCACTACCTTACACACATTCCTATCACCTTGTAACTACTCTACCTAGTCTAGTCTCAACCACCGGTACTAGTCACATCTCACTCTGTCCCTGAAAGGCGCAGAGGAGACAGGGAGGTAGGTACAGAGAACGCCCATCCCCTACATGCACACACCCCCGTCAGTCACACACGTCCCCTGAACACCATGAACACTAACCGGACCCAAACGATCTGCACATCTCTTACTGACAGCCACTCCATACATGTCAAAATCAGAGGCAAAGACACCCAAGGGGTCTCCAGGTGATGGCTACGTTTACAGCAGGCAAGCTGCCCTGAGGCTGCTGGTCCCGCATGGATGCCAGGCTGGGGTCACACTGAGTTTCTAAGCAAAGGGCAGGGCACCTACTGCGGCAGTAAGCCCAGCTTAAGGGGGAAGGAATGGATCCCTCGGTCTGTGAGCTGTGCCCACAACCAGGCCAGATGGCCTTCCTGGAAAGCAGCGAGGCAGCAAGGGCGAGCACTCACTACCAGCACAGCTCTGCCCTAGCCAGAGGTGTGGGGCCCACCAGACCACAGACCAGCCAAGGTAGCAAGTCTTGCCCCTAAACAGATCAGGCACCCAGAGCTACATGAAGCTCACCAGGTCTCGCCTCCACTGCCACAAGCCGCAGTTATTTACCAACACGCTCTGGGCATGAAGTCCTGCTGCAGAGTGGACTTCTAGCAAAGCCGTCTGGGAAGCGTGCAGGCACCAGCCAGTGTGCTGGGTGGGCGGGAGGATGAGAGACAACGGAGCCTGAAGACACCCCTGGTGGCCACCAGCTGCAGGATCCCTCAGAGCTGTCACACTGAACCCCAAAGGCAACGCCATCCAAGAAGCTCCAACAGGTAGTCAACATCCACAAAAATAAATACTGCAAACGAAAGTCCTCACATACGCTTCGTACGCATTCACACTTTTCCTTTGAGAACCCAGCGGGCCTTGCAGGTTCTCACAGAAAGTAGAGCCCTTGGACACAGCTTGTCAACAACACGGGAGCATTCACCTGGTACAAATCAATTCACCTTGTCGAGAAATATCAAAATCATCTGGCTTGTTACAGAAGTGTCTCCAGACTCCAGGGGAAGTGGAAGGTGCCTGGGAGCCCGCATGGGATCAGTGCAGAGTGGGGAGGAGGGGGGAGAGCTTGGGTCCGCTTGCCTGCTCACTGGTGGAGGTGGGCACGGTCGTCAGGTCACTTGATGTGGATCCGCCGCACACGCTCGATGCGCTCGCGCTCCCGCTCCTCGTCTTCGTCCAGGTGGTGGGAGCGCCCGGCCGCCCCACCTGTGGCCTCCAGGAGCGCATTGTCAGGTCCACGGCCGTCCTGGGCCTCATACAGCAGAATATTCAGGGTCTCTTCATAAATCCGGGCCTCGGGGAACTCCACCTGCATCCCCACGAAACACCGGCAGGTGAGCGAGCATCACACACGGCCCGCCGCCGCCACCGCCACCCAGACTTTCAGGCTAATCAGCCCCTGGGATTGCATTTAAACCCAAGGAGAGCAAGGGAACAGAAGGCCTGATGGGGCACAGGCCCGTAACAGCGCCCGCAGCATGCATTAGCTTTGCGAACGGCGCAGAGACAGAGGGAGAGGGTAAGTACACTGGTTTGGAGCGGATGATATAAAACTAGATCCTCAGAGTCCAGATCAGTGAGGGGGTCACGTGCTCGGGAGGAAGTCAACAGGGTAGGAGCTAAGGAAGCCGAGTGGCCCCGTGAGGGTGGAGGGCTGCTCTAGGTCAGTGGGTCAGAGGAGGACGGACAGATGGCAGCGAGTAGACAGAAAGCCAACGTCAGGAGCTTGAAGGCAGCCCTGTTGCTCTGATGACCGGGACGGGTGGGGCCGTGCTGGTGGGAAGCGTGCTGTGGGGAGGACCAGGAAGCGGACAGGCAGCGTCAGGTCACTGAAGCAGGAGGCAGTGCTGGCAGCGGGCCACACACGGGTAGCGGGGTATGTGAGTCAACACTAAGGGCAAAGGAACTGAGGTGCAGTGAGGCTGCCCCTACATGCTGGGTGGCACAAAAGGAGCGCCATTGGGATTCTCTAGGACCTGCGTCCGCACCTTAGCGGGGCCCAAAGGACAATGACAGCTGTGCAAGTACACACGCCAGGTGAGCCACGCAGAACCGTCCGCGCCAAGCCCTCACCTTGGTCTGCTTCTTCTCAGTGGCATAGACGATGGAGGTACAACAGACCTCAGCAATCTTCCGGCCCTGCCCATAAAAGGACCAGCAGCAGATTTCGTCCCCGATGACATCCTTTATGAAAAGGACCCGTCCGTTAAAGCGCAGAGAGAGCTTATCGAAGAGTTCAATGTTTTTCAACATATTGTCGTCAGAATTGCTGCAAAAGAGCATTTGGTAAGGTGACCACAAGCGGGTGATAACCCCGCCACCGGCAGTGTCCACACGCGGGGCCCATTATCCCCGCTACCCCGTTTCGGCCTCACAATAACCCACGAGAAAGGCACCAGTCCCCACTGCTCAGAGAAGGAAAGAGAGGGCCTGAGAAAGCGGGTGATTACTTGAGGTAAAAAACGAATGAATGGCAGAGCCAAGGCCTCAAAAAAGATAGCTCCAGCCGCTCAGCCTGAGCTCCTAACCAGTGTGCTAGGGAGGCTGCTACGCTGTGTGCCACTGCCAGAGGTGGAGCACGGGCCTGCGGGTACTGGCACCCGGTGGGCACGGAGGACAGCCCGGCGGGCACAGGAGCGTCAGGACAGAACTGCCGAGGCGGCGCTCTATCCTGTTCAGATTACGGGTCTTGGTAACTGCATCAGGTCCCCCTAAGGTCCCTC